GTTAAAGTACTCCGGTGGGCAGCCGGACCTCTGCGCATCCAGAATCTCCTCCACGACTTGCTGGCCTGCGTTAGAAGGCATACCATGTGCATTGTCTAAGAGTTTCGAGACGCATCGCAGCGCATATAGGCTAGCGAGCTCCTATTGAACGCAACTTTCACTTTTTCACTTTCCAGACAGGTCTGCTATACACAAGCATGGGCCAAAGAAAGACCAGCTAACTGTCTCTATGGTAGTGTGATAGCATGAATGGTCATGTGTTGCGTTCCCCTGCATTCCTCCCTTCGTGCTATTGTTTTTTTTTTTTTCGCGCACCGACGTTAAGATGAGCTACCAACTATAGCCCAGACGTCCGTGTTTTTCAGATGCTAAGAGGAAGGTGTTTTCGCTGCGAGATCGCTGCATGGTGTGCAAATTTATGCGGCACCAAGATGAACACTGCGTTCATCACTCACGCACGCAGCGATAAACAACGATTCTCCTCCCGCTTATCAATGTGCGTGCCGAGTTATCGGAAAGCGATAATTAGCGTATAGTGAAGCTGGGATCGTCGACTTCGGTGCAAAGTGCATACGTCCCACCCAGTGTCCTCAGTCACGCTACAGCTGAACACCAAACCACACTCCTTGGCATGAACACCTTGTGAGGGCGAGTCCCATGTCAACGGAGGGAAGAGCGTAATTTTAGCAAGCCAAAGTAGAATGTTATGAGTCTTCAAATGCTAATGTGAAGCTTCAAAAGATAGACATCACGTTGACCAATTGACACTATCCACCTATCTATCTATCTATCTATCTATCTATCTATCTATCTATCTATCTATCTATCTATCTATCTATCTATCTATCTATCTATCTATCTATCTATCTATCTATCTATCTATCTATCTATAAAGAAATTATTAAAAATAAAGAAACGCAATTTGATGCTGTTCGCCAATAGTATATCATTTCTTTTTTTGCATACGAGTGCGAAGTAAAGTAGGGAGACATTTTCTCGATGATCACATCATTGGATCGAGATAATTGAATTAGGACAATATTGCTCTTATAACAGTGAATAAACAACACTAATCAACATTAGCTCATTCTGGTAGTAGGTAAATAAATACGGTTGTAAGCTAGCGGTACGACATACTCCGCTACGAAAAATGAGTGGAAGAGCACAAGGAGGTCATTGTCTCCAAAAGAAATAAGACTGTTGTTAGGAATATGCATAACAAAACAACTATTTTCGAGTAAAGCTATTATTAAACGAGTAACAGTGTTCTACAGGTAGTAAATACCGACATAGAAAGATGCCTGCCATAGAAAGAGACAAAAGTCTTTGTTGCGGAACTTCTTACCGAAGAAAACAAGAAACGCCGTCTTTCCCGTCCTCGACTTATTTCCGAATTCTCCTCGCATGGTCTTCTCGCTGATCGTGAACGGGTTCGGCCGGTTCTGGCCATTCGGCCTATACGAACCGTCAGAGTACTGTGGCGGGAACAGCCGGATGAGATGTCCATCTGCAGAAGCAACCACGACGGGAACAACCACTATGACATCACGCTTATGTACAGCGTTGCGCTTATATTCATTTTATCTTCATTATCGGCTACCAAAGTGAAGCTTGATCTTCGATATATTTACGACGATCAAATCGCCGGAAGTGATTTGCCTGTATAGTAACAGCTAAGTGAACGAAAAAAAAGAGAAAAAAGCTTTAAGGCGAAGCGTCAGAAAAGTATAGAGGCAAAATTTCTAAAATAAACATATATACGTAAGCACAACCTAAACACACCAAACAAATGTGCCTTAGCAGTTTGCCCATTCCAGATCTGTTTACGTGATTCTACGTCGTACAGTAGATACCGAAAGTCTTTACTGTCAGTGCTGGTCTATATATGAGTGGAGTTTGGTCTCCGCACTTCAAATTCAATGGCAAGATTACAAATAACTGTCAAATTAATAATAATAATAATAATAATAATAATAATAATAATAATAATAATAATAATATGTGGGGTTTAACGTCCCAAAACTACCATATGATTATGAGAGACGCCGTAGTGGAGGGCTCCGGAAATGTCGACCACCTGAGGTTTTTAACGTGCACCCAAAGCTGAGCACACGGGCCTAGAGCATTTTCACCTCCATCGAAAATGCAGCTGCCACAGCCAGTATTTGATCCCTCGACCTGCGGGTCAGCAGTCGAGTACCTTAGACCACCGCGGTGGGGCGAAACCTAGAATATGGCCGGCCAGTAGGATTGAATTCTACTTTATGCTACTTAACTTTCGATGGACACTTTCTTTCTATATGTCTCTTGCCAGCTCATCGTCAAACTTGATTGATTGATATGTGGGGTTTAACGGCATCGTCAAACTTGATCGCTCATCGCTCGAACTGCCCACTTACCTGCCGATCCCAGCTCTGGAACGCTTGGATTGTTGTACCACCCGTCGTAACCTTCGAACTCTGTCTCATGTTTGGGGTAGATTCCGTCTAGCAGCCAGTCTATCAGGTCTCTTTTGATGTTGGCAGGCTTTCCGCCTGGAAAGTAAATAAACATGTGTAAGAATTTTCAGAATAAAGCCGCTGTTAAATTCTTCGTATAGAAAGGAACACTATAGAACGAACTCAACATTGATTCAAAACAAGCGTGATGGTGTCACGACGGCCATCGGTCATTGGACAATCATAAAAACTTACAATTTCTTTTTACGTACATGCTTACATCATCGACATTTTTAACTTCTTTTGTAATACTAATAGAATGTACGCCAAAAATTATTTCGAGCCACGAAAGAAGCCACAAACAATACCGTCACAGAAAAAAGCAAGAAAACTCCTTTTCTTTAAATTTAGCACCCGTTCAGAAAATCCTTCTTTAGAGAAAACATTTGCAGCACTCCGTGCTTTGAAGCCGTTGAACCTGTTGGAACTGGTTGAATAATTTCCCACTTACTCCCACGAGACTATAGCAGCAACTGAAAGTGTGCATGTATTACAAATGCATCTGTATTTCCGAACGCGCCGCTTCGACATCCTTGACACTTGACTTTGTGGTAATGTTTCCACATTTTGGCTCCTCGTGTACTCAATCTCCTTTCGCGTAACTTGGTAAGGCGTAAACACCGCCTGTAATTTAAATAGTTGTTATTAGACTTCGAGAAGTCTATTGTGCAGTGTAAACCGACCTGTCTTTCTACTTCCCTCTATATATACACGAGGAATGAATTGATACCCGCGGTGGCACAGGAGGACGACGTACATGATTTGCCGAACAACTCGACATACAAAATAATCGTGCGTCTCCCGAAATACGCACCGTGTATAATCACTAATATTTGCGTTTCTGGCTGAGTCGCTTCTTCACTCTCTTTGTTTTTAGGGGTGAAGCTCCTTATAGCGGCACCCGTTCGTCCCTCGATGTCGTAGTAGTAGTCGTAGTGTGTAACGAGTATTACATTTTGACCTCCAAGGTGGTGCCGGTGAGAGATTTCTTCAGTGCGTTGTTGAACAATAAAAGATAGTGATCAGTGTACATGCCAATGGCTGCTAAGGGGGAATGAGAGACAGGAAAATTCGGCTTTTAGCTAACGCGCACGCTGCGAATTTTTTATTGTTCAACAACGCACAGAAGACAAGAAAGGGTTGCTACGTTATACTCGCTGGGCGTAACCTCCTAAGTTTTAGAAATGTTTAGCGAGCGTTGGGCTGCAGTGCCATGAATACAATGAACTAGTGCATGAATTCGAGGTGGTTAAACGTGGGAAGTAGACACGAAGCGCAAGCCGTAAGAAAGTGTGCGTGTGCCGCCTCTCGTTCAGTCCTTGGAATGTCCGCTGGATGGCGGTGCTTCTATATGAGGAATATATGATGAAAAGATGCGAGATGGTGGTACTTGGAGTGTTGAATAGATGGGCGAACGGACACACAGACAGATGCATGGATGGACGCTTGAACGGACGCAGGGGCGGATGCATGGACGAACGCAGGGACGGACGCGCGAACAGACGCACGCACGGACGGGAGGATGGACGCATGGACGGTCACACAGACGGACGAATGGATGGACGGAAGCAAGAGTGAATGGACGGACGGATGCTTCGCCCCACTATCCATCATTCACTCCGTGGGTATGCTGCCATTTTTTTTTCAAAGGTTACGTTTCTTTATATTGTCCTGGCTGCGTATAGAACTGCGTAGAGAGTCCAGGGAGTGTATACATAATTTTGGCTTCCTCATATTATTGTGAGCGAGTGCACGTTATATATGTAGCAGGGGCAGATTATTCCTTGAAGACGCGGACCATGGTTTCCGTATATCTAGTGCGACGTCTTCTTAACGGTCAGGTATATTGACTTTTTATTTTAGCTGCCTTGAAGCCATGAGGTTGTGTTTCTTGTTCTTTATAGCAATTAAGTGTACAGATGGACGCGATGTCAATGACATGAACCGAAAGAATTCTTAACAGTTAAGAATATGGGCCAAACGGAATCGCCCGAAACGCAACATTGGCGGTGCACCGCGGCTGACGTTCGGCTTACCTGCGGATGACTGTGGGGTCGTTTGCGTTGCCGGGGATGCTGTGGTGGGCGACGGCGACGTGGAAGATGAGGTCGCATCTTGAGCCTTGGACCTTAAAGGCCCGATCACGATTAGTGTGCCTAGCAATACAGCGAAGGCCACGGTAGTACCCGGTGGCCTAGGCATGGCTGTGGTGCGACCCTGCAGGCCGCTGGTTGAAGGGCTCTTTGAATAGCGCCTCCTTCAGAGGACTCTGACACGAATGCTCTGCACAGAAACTGATTCTTGTGCCGTCCAGCTGCTGGAGGGAAGTTCGCGGCCACTGCGCAAGGGTTTTGCTGCACGCGACGGATATGCGAGGAACGCCTTGCAATGCTTCAAGCGGATGTGGAGCGCTTTGAAACAGCGGCGCGTGCGCCGGATGTGGACCAGGAAAAGAAACGTCCCGCCAGCTACTTCCTCTGCATCAGTGGCCCAGACATTGCAACCGACGAAGCTGGGCGCGTGCAATATCGCGCCAGCGCCGCGTAAACGAGCTCGGGGGACGCTGGGCGCAAAGTGAGCGTCAAATACTCTCCACCCTGGACACCTATGCACGCGAGCGCAGACGGTTCAGGAGGAGTTTAGAGTCCGGCTTGTCTGACGGCCCGCGCGCGCGCCCCTCTGTGACCACAGCGCGCCGCTCTCATTGCTACTAAAAGCTTTGTCCGGCACGCCTTCCGGTGAGTGGATCGAGTTTCCGGCTCTTCACCGCGTTTTCGGTACAGCTTACGTGTGGCTGAAGATGATTGCGAACCAAGCGCTTGATGCAGCATTCTAGGGTACCATAAGTGCACAGGGACTTGACCCCGACGGTTTCGTGTCGCTCCTGTGGTTTTTCTGCACGTTCCTTCTTTGTGTCTCTTCGGAATCTTCGTTTTGGTGACATTTGTAACAACGAACCCCAACTGGGAATTTGGTCGCTTCTTGACGTGTGCATGTTTAGCTTGTGAAGTTCCCGATGCTTTTGCGGGATTTGCCGATGGTATTTGTGATCATTATATTAAAAAAACACTCATCGCATCAATATAGACGTGAACCTTGTGAGCCCGCGAAGCTGTAAGCAGTATGGTTACAATGTAGATATTGTAGAATAGCACCCGCTCTATAATTAGCGTGTAACAAAAAGGCATGCGCCTTACATTAAAATGAGATTATATAACGCTTAAAGAAAGCAAAGAACAGTGTAACTATAGGCTTCCCAGCCTATGAGATTACACACTGTTTAGGAGAAATTACGTCATATGAAAACAAACCGAGCCATTCGGTATAGTCTAGAAAATATTAGAGTGAGAAACCTGCTTTTTTTTTTACCAGGCTGTGTTGGCCCGGAGGAGGGCGGCCACCTATTGCTATGTAGCCGTGGACTTCAGCTGACAGCCCAGCCCCGTTACTAACATGCCCAACTTGCCGCACCTGTTAGTCCCGTTACATGTAGCAGGTTTTGGGGACCTGTAGGCGTTGTCAGTAGATTCTTGCCTTTGAATTCTCGTTGCACTTTCGGACCACATGTGCTAAAAAGTGTTCGACAAGTTGAATACGACCATTAGCTGTTTTCTTCCTCCTTTTTAATAATGCACGCTCTTCAATATACACGCAGTGCTCTTGAGGAAACGTTACATTAGGAACAAGAAGGGCTTAATCGCCAAGCGTGATATCTTCCTGCAGTACATATTTGACCACATTTCGGGAACACACAGTATAACAATAACGCTTTACGAAAGTTGCTAACGTGGTTGCTTGGGCGAGTTGGTACGACATCATTCACATACAAAAGCCTTTGTATGTGAATGCAAAGGCTTTGTATTGAATGCGGCTATTTCTTGCAACAGGCTCTTGGCCTGTTGCATGAAATAGCCGCATTGCTGCTTTTCGCACGCATGACGATTTATCCTCCTGTAACAATATCGCCAGTGCTCGTCTGAATACGAGCCAGTTAGTACGCATTCATGAAGGACACAGGACAGCGTCAGTCCTGTTTCTGCTTGTCTTTGCGTTCTTTTTGCCTTGTTTTAATACTACACATTCATTCACCAGGCCGCAAAGGCATTTGTGGAAAAGCAGCCCACATCCTGTTATGTCCGGTGCATCGAAGCGACACCTTCGACAAGCAGGATCCAATTACGTCGAAGTGCCGTCTGGTCTGACTATGACACTTGACACTGCTGCTGAGAATGGCCTCACATTGGCCTCTATCAGGCTTCCCGTCGAATGCAGGGGTGGCGGATGTTGTCGTCGACGTACCTGTGGCTTGGTTTTTGTATTTGTTTCTGTCCCCACCCCCCCTTTTATTTGGGGGTGAGGGGGATACGATGACAAGGTGACCCTTGGTAAGCCAGGGCCTATCTGATTAAGTTGTCTAAACCAGCCACAACGTGCACTCACGCTCCATAACCTGATCTCTCTCTTGCAGCAGCAAAAAGCAAAACAAAAATGGCATGCGTATTTGCCACTATGATGCAAGAATGGAATATGAGGAGGTCTTTAGCGCAGCGTTAGTATGAAAATAAAAGGGGTTGAGTAGATGAGGTTTGCTTGGTCGCTTGATTTTGGAATAACTGGTGGAAAGGAGAACAATTGCTGTAGGGCGGCCACCGCGACTCCCTCACATAAGGTTCTTTTGTTCGTTAGCGCTGTTTGTTATTGGCCCTTGGCAATCGCTAATAATATGTCCTACGTTATGATTGGCTGGATAATGATCCAATTCGCAGCTCTGTTGGAAGCTCTTTTTTCTGTTTTTTTTTTCTTTTTTGTAAACATAACCCCTTCTCTCTCTCCCCTCCCCTCCGTCCCGCATTTGCTATACCGCAGCGTGTTGGAAGGCCATCAGGACTTTGGAAGCCTGAAGTACGTTGCTTTTCAGGACTGCTGCAGACCTGATTTACTTGGCTTATGTCGGCTGGTGTATCTACTACGATGAGTCTGATTTTAGATATATACGCCATCTCTGGATTGAACACTAGGACTGATATTTTCTTTTAGAGCGTTGTGACGTACAATGAAGGAAGCTGCTCTGTCGCTTAGGTTTTCGTGTACAAAAAAAAAAAGATGCTCTGCAGTCATACACATCACCGACTCATGACTCTTCACTCGCAAGTTGCGGGACGAAATCTGATGTAAGTTGCGGGACGAAATTTCGATGGAGACCAAATGCCAGTGGCTCCTTGTGCTTAAATCTATAGGTGTGCGTTAAAGAACTGCAGATGGTCGTAGTTTCGGGAACCCTCCACGACGGCGTGCCTCACAGTCATATCGGGGTATCGGGACTTGGAACCCGTGCTAATTTATTAGTTGGGGGATTACGAGACCGTTTATGCGTGCTCCGCAGTTGCAGTGAAATATACCAGAGACGCTATTTATGTGTTGATTTAAAAATGCCTTAGAGGCCCACAAGTCACTGAGTGAGAAGGGGGGGGGGGGTGCTTGGTTACTGCAATGAAATCACAAGTAAACTCGCCAAGAACAGTGTTATACTGCAGGTGATTAAGATAACACAACGCACCAAAACAAATGAAAAAAATGCAAAATAAAGTTGTAACGGAAGTAGAAAGAAAGATAAGCACATAGAACACAACACAGCACTGACATGGGTCGTGTTTCGTCACCCGTGGCCCTGTATTCCCACTGACGACGCGAAGCAGTCATTTCCCCGGGTTGCTTTCCGAGCTTAACGTGCCGTTGGCTAATTTCGCTCGCCTGCAGTGACAGCATGGGCAGCGAGTACGTGCCGAGCGCCTTGTACTCGGCCCTACGAGACAAGCCCTTCCCGACGCTGTACGGCGAGAACAGGACCTCGGTGACGGCGGACGTTCTCGAGGCCGGCCTCATCCTCTCCTTCTGCATACTCACGCTCGCCGTCCTCCTCGTCATACCCGGCGTCCGAGTTGGACAGGTGAGCAAGGGCTTGGGAACACCGCGGTATTGACGCTATTGCGCCTGTAATACAATTGCGAAATGAGGATGCGTACGACAGTAGCATGCCCCCCTAGGGCTTTGCGAATCAGCGCTCCTGTGTGTGTGTCTGTCTTACGAAGGCGCTCGTGCCTTATGGTTATCTCGTCCTTAATCAATGTCATCTCTTCGACGACCGCTCGCGGATTGGGGCTTCGTCCACAGACTTTTCAAGCTGTCTCACAATCTTTTTTCCTTTATCTCAATCTTACTTCTCTCTCTTTATCTCTTTCAATCACTCCTTATCGTTTCCCTTGTGAGCTACTGCTGACGTGTCGCACTTTGATGCAGACAGTTGCGGGGGTCACTTTTTCATTTTTTTTCATATTTAAAGATCACTACATCCCCCTTCCGTCCCTGTCTTCTCGGGATGCTGTTTATTTAAATACATCGTTCTGCTTGGCCCGTATATTGTCGAATCTCAGAACACAGGAACAAGAGACCATGAACGACGCTCTGTCGTGTTTCTGTTTTATTTATCGCTGCTCCGGTCGTTTGAGGAGACGTGCTAGTCAAAGGAATGCGCTTAGGCAGGGCATGCAACGGTCATTGCTCTGAGTTAGCGTAGTTAGGATGATGATGACGACGACGATGACAATGACGGCGATGACGACGAAGATGTTGATGATCGTCATCATCACATTACGCAATGATATTTTAGCTCGGCAACAGGAGCTGAGGTTGCATGCGCTAACCATATAATATAGCACACAATTATGTGCTATAATAATGTTAAGCTTGTTTAAACGAGCTCACCTATATTTAAAAAAGCCTTAGCGAATGAGTTGCGTTTCATAAGGTAGTCGAATGGCGCACATTTTTTTTTTTCGAGCTGCTGGTGTCACTCTTTTTTTCTTTCGAGGCTTATAGTCACTTTACATTTCATGAAACTTTAGGTAGCCGTAACTTGACTTACCCATGCGTAACGGCCTTCGTGTAAACCTCCCGTGACGCCCATAAAATTGACCATAACTGGGGGAGGCACCAAGGATTGATTGATTGATTTGTGGGGTTTAATGTCCCAAAACCACCATTTGATTATGAGAGACGGCGTAGTCGAGGGCTCCGGAAATTTAGACCACCTGGGGTTCTTTAACGTGCACCCAAATCTTGAGCACACGGGCCTACAACATTTCCGCCTCCATCGGAAATGCAGCCGCCGCAGCCGGGAATCGAACCCGCGACCTGCGGGTCAGCAGCCGAGTACCTTAGCCACTAGACCACCGCGGCGGGGCGGAAGCACCAAGGAATCGAATAAACATATCAGTGATAAAATGTTGCATTTCAAATCACCATTTGATACGGCATAGCCTGTCCAGATAAATTCTGATTAGATAAGAATATTAACGAGCACGAAAATTTCAGCTGCCCGCCACGGTGGATTAGTGGCTAAGGCATTCGGCTGCTGAACCGCAGGTCGCGGAATCCAATCCCGGCCTCGGTGGCCACACTTTTGATAGAGGTGAAAATGCTTGAGGTCCGTGTGCTTATGTTTAGGTGCATGTTAAAGGGCCCCGGATGGTAAAAATTTCCGGAGTGCCCCCACTATGGCGTCTCCCGTAATCATACGGAGATTTCTGGACGATAAACCTCGACAATTTTTATTTAATAGTAAAGTTTCAGCTACTTTGTATTCTCGCTGTTCCCCTGCTTCGGAATAGCTTTAACCTTGGCTGGACATAGCTCACAAAGTCACATACCATCGTTAAAACAGTGGCGCGAAAGGCGAAGTTGGCGAGGTTTGGAGTTCACACGAAACATCGAAGCACGTGGCGACCAGCGCGTTAAGCTCATATGTTCGCGCACCCATGCCGCGGCAGTCTACTATGTTATTCTTGTGTAAATTAAGTAGCTTTCCTTCTATAAAAAGCTTTAGACAACGGAACTGCCTTATAAAGCTATGTGCCACGCTGGTGATTCATTTGCAGGCAAGTCTGAAAGTTAGCTCATGGGAACACAGAATCGCTCCAACGCACATCCTCCATATGCATCCTCCATAAGGAGTTCAAAGGTGAACTCTTGACGGAACCTTGTCTTGTTGGGAAGAAACTCAAGGGTGAAATTTCTTTCCACAAATTCTTTTCGTTCTCTCTCGGCTTGACTCTGTTTCAGGTGCAAGCGATAGTAACAACTTTAGAGCACGAGCTGACATGTCTTTTTTTTTTCTTTGTCTTTCAGAAAACGAATGTGCTGATACGAGCCCTTGTGAGTCTTTTCATCGGGACTTTCATTCTGTGTAAGTGATGGTGTACTATCGAGCTCAACTCGTTCGATTGTGCTCATACCAGTTTGCTCACGCGTCGCTCGCAGTGTGCAACTTCGGCCAGGAATGGGAGTACTCACGGATCCATGCGACCACACCGTACAAGGCATTCAGCCATGAAGAGTTGAACGCGGAAATAGAAGTCAAGATTGGCCTTCGAAGCGTCAACATAACGTTGAAGAGTAAGAATCTAGTTTTGAGTGATATATCACCGAGTACCATTCTCTTTTTTTTTTGCTTACAAATTTTACCAGAGAAGATTGAGATGACTGAAGGCACAGCTATGCGCAGAGTTGAGCTCAGCCATCTGCAATAGAGTGTAACTTGGGGAAAGCTAGATGGAGTGAGCATCCCTCCCAAACATTTTTCTTGTGCTAAGACCGTTTGTCACATAATAATTGCATAAATAACTACTTGTAATCGTTATCTTAATACACATTTGCGTACTGTTGCTCTTTCTGATGGTCTGACAGATCTGAAGGCTGTTTCTTCTTTTGCTCGCCTGAAGAAACGCAGTGGCTACGTTTGCGAATTGGTATCGTAATGAATGGATCGAATTATTAACCAGGAACTGTTCTAAACTTCTTTCGTTTGTTAAAACTAGGTAGCCACTGCTCGTTGCCATGATTCGTAGATGGTATTTTAATTCTAGAGAGGTTCTTTATAACCCGATCAGGAACAGCATCCATCCAGGTTTGTTTGCGAGACTGATAAACTTCGTTCGGACTTCTGGTCTTGGAGGTGTCCTGACTTCTTTCTTGTTTTTGCACTCCCTGTTTTTCAGAATGAGTTAGGTCTTCTGTTTGCATCAGAACAGCTTCTTACTGCTTTATTACTATTTATTGACTGACTGATTTCTTTCTTTATTTTTATTTATTTATTTTCAGACGAGACCATCTATTCTGGTACTGAGGGAGATCAAGTGAACTACAATGAGCGTTTCTCGTGGGAGTGGCAACAAGGCAGGCAGGGATTCGGTCCCCAAGGTGCGTATACAACGCGTGCAGAATGAACCGCGTAAATTACGCAGAAAATAACCTTTTTGTGTTCGTTTCGTGATTAGCCGAACGCGCTGTTCCCTCGTTTGAGCTCGTAACTCGCTTGATTGTCGAAACATAAGTGAGTCTGATGAGCCTGATACAGTAGCAAAAGTGCAAGGCGCAAGGTTAAAACGGTATGAAAAAGAAGATAGGGAAGACCTCTTCTTTTTTTTTACTCCTTTGTTTTCTTTCGTTGTTTTGCGTTGCGTTTGCAACATTATTGTTGAACTATATACCAACCAGGCCAACTCCGTACGATACTAATGTACTTGAACTGAGAGACGAGTCGTTGTCTTGTATATACATGAGAGTATACACTAACGCCCTGTCTTCAAGTTGCCCGCAAGGCTGCCTTCTCGCTGCTTGTCTGTTCTGCACTTGGTCACAGCTTCTTCAGCTCCAACTTTGGATGCTTCAAGTGACGTGTGACTTGGTCGTCTTTGATGCGCAGCTGGCCACTTCAACCAGGCTTTTCGGGAGGCTCAGGTCCGCGGTACGCCTCTGCCTATTCTCTGGATCGCCGAGTACTTCACGTTCGATGGCGAAGGCATTCGTTTTGGCAGAAACTATCGCATCGCCGGCTGGTACACTCACATCCTCCTCTGGTGAGTTGGCGCTCGGGTGTACGGAGTGGCGAACATCCGACACACCATAAAGGAAGCGTAGCGTGTTCCGCAAAAGACAGTCATCATCTGTCTGGCCGTCGTTCCGTTTTCCGAAAGCGCTGCGTTTCGTTACTTTCTTGTCGAAAATACTACACTACGTTAATGACTTGAGTGCCGTTTGCCACGTGATACCTGTATTATAGTAAATGTTAATTTTTAACGTCTCAAAACCACTGTAAGTTCATGACTTGGCGCCGTATAGTCGAGGTGTATGGAAATTTCGACCATTCGGGGTTCTTTATTGTGCAACTAAATCTTAGTAAGTGGCTCTTTACCGTTCCGCCTTCATCTAAATGCAGCCGCCGCGGCAGGCCGACTTGATTCCGGGACCTTCAAGTCAGCAGTCAAGCATCGTAACGGTGCACCAATGTGGTGGGTGATTTCGTCACGTGTATAGGTGTACAAGGCGCGCAACGTTAAATTAAAGTATAAAAGGAAGTTTACTACTATTGTCTGGATATGACATAAGCCCCTCTTCTTGGACAGCGGCATCGAAGTATACACTTCACTTGATTGCCGTGCCCAGCTAATTTTCTTATCCGTTTATAACTTTGAAAGCTATGTGTTATGTTGCGAAAACGACAGAGAGAAAGTGAGAGAGAAGGAATATGAGGAAAGTATTGAGGTTAACTAGACTGCGTCGTTTGCCACCCTACACGTGAGGAAAGGGGAATGGGAGATATATAGATAAATAGATAGATAGATAGATAGATAGATAGATAGATAGATAGATAGATAGATAGATAGATAGATAGATAGATAGATAGATAGAGAGAGAGAGAGAGAGAGAGAGAGAGAGAGAGAGAGAGAGAGAGAGAGAGAGAGAGAGAGAGAGAGAGAGAGCAGCACATTGTCGCTCAGGGATGCTGCTTTGAAGAATTGCCGGAGGGCTCGTGTGGCTGAAATTAATGAAGATCAATGAAGGAATACAATAAATTATAGAATCAATGAGAAAATATGTTTTAAAAGGGGGAATATGGGCATTCATTTTTATGAGATGGATATGAATGGTATATCTTTAAAGGTACAAATAGTATTTCTACGTGTAATATGTGTAGCATGTCAAGAAGAGCTAGAGAAGGAAGCATTTCAACAGATGTCCACTACTTATGTCTGAGAGCGTAAGAAATTAGATTATTGAGCTTCAGACTGAACGACCGCTCATTGGTACGAAGAAGAAGGCGGAGGTGGAATGAGCTTTATTGACAGAAACAGCAAGTTCAGGTGGCCGGCCTTGGGTCTCCCGTAAGGGGACGGCAAGGGCTTGCCTCGATGCCACCTCAGGGTTGTGCTAGGTCGTCCGGGATTGTTCATCGGGGTTGTAGTTCGGCAGATCCTCACGCAACCTCGACGAGAGGGTCGTGGTGTTAGTGTATACGTACTGTGCCGGGCACTTCACACAGCATACGCGGAAGCGTAGCCAAGTGAGTGCCACAGCATCGACAGTTAGATGTATACTGCAAGCGTCTGGTAATGTGAGATGGAGACGGTAAGTTTATGGATACGTGTTTGAAGTAGACGTAGAGCGGTGGCTAGCGCCCGGATGGCTTTGGGGTGAAAATACTATATATTTTACTGAATTTGAAGGGGATAATTTACAATCGGACGCCCCGCCCGCGGTGGTCTAGTGGCTAAAGTACTCGGCTGCTGACCCGTAGGTCGCGGGTTCGAATCCCGGCGGCGGCGGCGGCTGCATTTCCGATGGAGGCGGAAATGTTGTAGGCCCGTGTGCTCATATTTGAGTGCACGTTAAAAAACCCCAGGTGGTCGAAATTTCCGGAGCCCTCCACTACGGCGTCTCTCATAATCATATGGTGGTTTTGGGGTGTTAAACCCCACATATCAATCGATTTAAATCGGACGTTCCTTTTTTTTTTAACTGCACTAAGGTATGGACCGGTGCGACAGTGTTTCTTGAATTACGCACCTGTTACTTGGTTGAAGCAACGGCTTGTGTAGTGCTATGACAAGTGTCCGTGTGCATCTTAGTTGAATCAGAGAGTCACCCGCACCTAATGAGCATGCCCATTCGTGGCTTTATTTCCGAGGCCATGCGCCAATGGCAACAGAGCCAACATCTTTGGTTTCGACGAGTCTGCATCGTCCTCCGTTAGCGCGGCACCGATAACCTTACACCACTGACCGGGCACTCGCAGGACTGCGTTTCCGCTCTGGGTCATCAGCAACCTGGTGTTCTTCAGCGTCCTCTGGTACGGCGCATGCGTGCTCATGCTGACCGGCGCGTGCCTCATTGCCGGCACCGTGGTGTACGCCAGCGTGAGGAACTTCATCCAGCTCGAGATTCCCTTCTACGACCACGACCACCTGGTCGTCATCCGCATGCATTACGGCTGGTGCTTCTGGATGAACCTCGTCAACGGTGCGTGCACTACTGGCGGTGTGACTTCGAAGTTCACTTCGAAGGTCAAGGCGCTGCGAAGTTTACTTGCTGCCCATAAGCGAGAATGTTTTGATAACACGGTGGTTTTTTTGTGTCTCTGCGAATTCTTTCGGCAGGTCTGGTGTGCCTGGTCGCTGGTCTAGTGGTGCTCTTCATGGACCTCCGATACCCAGATAAAATTGCGGCCTTCTTCGACATCGACATCCTACAGGACTATGAGGAGATCTACGACGGTTGGATATCTTTGCTTGATCTATCGATCTATCTATCTATCTATCTATCTATCTATCTATCTATCTATCTATCTATCTATCTATCTATCTATCTATCTATCTATCTATCTGGCCACCTACGTCTGCATGAGTGCTTTCGTGGTCACCTCCTTAAACTGGGGTAACCAAAATTTAAAGAAGGGTGGGAGGGTTTTGCGATTATGACTGTCTAGTCATGACATAAATAATAGAGTTTTAGGTTGGTAGAACGCTTGGTATAATATTGTCAAAAAACTTGGTTGTCACAGCCGGCGATCGAAACCGCGGCCTCTTGGGCAGCACAAAACGTCAGGTTCGCTCAGCCGTCGCTATATGTGATCATCAACCCATTGACTTGAACCGTGTATGCGACTCGTGTCCACTTGTGATGTCATAAGAAGATCGACGTGTCTGCGCGTACGTGGTTGCTGCCTTTAAAGCGTGCTTTACCACACAAAAAAAGCTTTTTATGCGGGGAAGCCCGCTTGTGCAATTCACTTCGCTTTGCAGCACGTAAATTTGCCATTCACTATCTATCTATCTATCTATCTATCTATCTATCTATCTATCTATCTATCTATCTATCTATCTCTCTATCTATCTATCTATCTATCTCTCTATCTATCTGTCTGTCTGTGTTTCTATCTATCTATCTATCTATCTACATATCTATCTATCGATCTATCTATCTGTCTGTATGTCTGTCTGTCTGTCTGTCTGTCTGTCTGCCTGTCTGGTTATCTATCTATCTATCTATCTATCTATCTATCTATCTATCTATCTATCTATCTATCTATCTATCTATCTATCTATCTATCTATCTGTGTTTCGTACTAGTGCTTTGTTACAAACTGAAAAAAGTATTTTGTTTGGTATGCACTTTTCACGCACCTCCTACAGAGCCGGTGGAGTTGGCAAAGGTCACGACGGACGAGAAAAAGACTGCGGCCAGTGACACCGCCTTACTTTTGCCTACCAATTCCGTGCCTGGCTATGGAACAGATGGGCCCGAATACGTGAGTACCGTGCACGATTTCTTACGGAAACGTTTCGCGTGCGGCTCAGTCAAGTAGCTAATTGTATGCATTTTTGCTACTTACGAAGCATCACACTGCACTTTTACACATAAAATTTGTCACTCAATGGCCACGAGAGTGGGTAAGAGGGGAATATTAGTTTCCTCTATCAATTTCGGACGACGTACAAGGCGCAGATGGTGTGGACAAGAGTTCTGGCGGTGAATTATACGAAGACAATGCCCACAGAGTACTCGTCAGCGTGTCTAGTATTGTTATGCTCAAGTCTTAAAAGTCGCGGAGACGCGTTGAAAAAAGCACGCAATGCCGTGCATGAACTGGAGCAGCAGCGATAAAGTGGCGTAGACGTTCGTCACCCTGTGCGCACGTTTTTTTTTCTCTAAATTTTTTATTTTTTAAATATTTATTGATCATATAAGCCCCAAAAGCGCTTCAGTAATTTCAAAGCAAACAAAAATTCAAACGGCTGAACCAGCGGCCGAGTTAGGCGGCTTCGCCTCCGCACTTTAAATCAAGCCCCACATTTTCACCGGATATCTTGCGGTTGGTAAACATGCCAAATCTTTATACTGAATGAAATTAAAGCGGGAAATGGTGCTCAAAAGCTTCGACGTTCGAGAAACGGAAAAAGGAGAAAAAAAAACGCACGAAACTAGAATGTAAACTGAGAGTAACAGCCAATTTTGCTTGGAGCGTAAACTCCAGGACAGAAGAAAACAAGAGATAGAGAGACTCGTGTGACTCATTTTTGGAATTCCTGGCTTGTCACGTGTGTGACTACATAGAAAGGTGCACGTGAAGTCTCCTTGGGGATTGTTATTTTCTCGTTGGAGAGTCGTTTTAAACAAAATAGATTTAACGTTCCTCTTTAAAGAGAGTCATATCGGAGTGAAGCCAGGATTTTCCGAAAAGAGTAACACATACTCCTTTTTGCGTTAGAGTGCACTCTTGTAGACTCCTTCTGTTTTTCTGTACTATTATTAACAGCGCAAACACGGTGTTTGCGCTGTTAATAATAGTTATGGAATACGCACCAACTGCGTCCAAATGAAGTTTTGTTGTAGTTGATTCTGTCTTTCCCATCTTTTCTGCGCTTACAAATGGGACCATGGTATGCACCAGCGCGATATTTGACCTAGCTAAGCCGTATTCGCATAACACGTCGCACCCTGTCCGTGCGATCCCAGGAGGCTCCGGCCCTGCGTAAACGCAGCGCCTACAACCGCTATCAGCGAGTTTCCGTCCGCAAGCCGGCTCCCGCACCGCGGAGGCTTCCCGCTGTGCCGCCGGCCCTGCAGGAGGAAGAGGACGACGACAATCCAATCTACGAGAACACGCTGCAGTCACCGGAAAGGCGAGCACATGTCTGCGCTGTCTCTTGCAATTAGGTCGTAGTACCAGCACGTCAGCAGTGCAGTTGGCGTTAATTTGCCAGGATGGCGATCCGAATGCGTTCCGCACTTTGCCCGATCAACGTCGAAGTGTCAGTTTCAGTTTATTTTGGACATAGTTACATGACTTGAAATATGTCCACGAGGCAAGGCAAAAGGAGACTCGTATGTCTCCTGACGAGGCCTTCACCCCGGACTTACACGTCGGACAGCCAGGAGCAGAATCAGAGAAAATAGGCACAATGCTCATTGCACAACTTATATAAACAAAAAAAACGAACAGTAAAAAACACATTAGGACAAAAATTATACAAAGTGTCGGCTTCTCAATCTGAATAACCCGTGGCCCGAAATGCGGTTTCATAAATTATTTGTCTATGCTGTGCGGGGCGTTGCTGGATAATTTATTTAAGGGAAGGAGGATGTAATAACCGTCCTTGATATAATATTCGTACGTGTATCTGTAAATGTGGTCGTTTGTAGTGCTTATGGTGCTCGATTGCTGCCCAGAAGGTCGCGGGATCGAATTCCGGCCGCGGCAGTCGCAATCCGATAGTGGCGAAATTTTCGGGAGCCCATGCACTCGTATCTAGGTGCAGGTCAAAGAACGCCAGATGGCCAAAGTTTCTCCCGAGCCCTACACTGCAACGTCCCTCGTAAACACCGTGGTTTTGGGACGTAAAACAAACACTATTCGTATGCGTGCATGAAAAGTTTTAAATGGCCAGCAAGAGGTAGAGGTGTACCCCTCCCGCCTCTTCTTCCAGATATGCCAATAATCCTATTACAGCAAGTTCAATGACCAATGAAGCGCTTTCTGCGCCCCAGTTCAGCATCATATCATACATAACGTAACCGACCAATCGAAAACAAAGAATTAAATGTTGGTCTGACTGAATCGAAAATGAACAGAAATTTCAATGATACGAACTACTGAAAAATAGAGTCGTAATGCCATGAACACAGGCAACACCTGTAATCATTTGTCATGTGGCATTTTGTAGAAAATATCTTCAAGTTATTATGAATGCACTGTAGAATGGTCATGTGCGCTGGGAATCAGATGCGTTTCCAAAGCGTAAGGAGATGTTTGCCGCTGGTTTCAGAGCGAGCATCCTATTTTCCTTGTGGCAACAACATTGATTGATTGATTGATTGATTGATTGATTGATTGATTGATTGATTGATTGATTGATTGATTGATTGATTGATTGATTGATTGATTGATTGATATGTGGGGTTTAACGTCCCAAAACCATCATGTGATTATGAGAGACGCCGTAGTCGAGGGCTCCGGAAATTTCGATCACCTGGGGTTCTTTAACGTGCGCCCAAATATGAGCACACGGGCCTACAACATTTCCGCCTCCATCGGAAATGCAGCCGCCGCAGCCGGGATTCGATAGCGCGACCTGCGGGTCAGCAGCCGAGTACCTTAGCAACTAAACCACCGCGGCGGGGCTTGTGGCAACAACAGGGGCAATAATTAAAGCCGTAGAGGATGACTGAGCCTTCACTTTAGTCGTGTCTGTACATGCCTTTGACGTGCAACTAACCTAAAAGCGAATGATCGTTTTACATTGAATTCTAAGTAAACGCTTCCGCCGTATCAGGAACACTTCGCGCTCAGCAGTAAAGCGACACAGCCTCTTCGCCAACGCGGCAAACGCTTGAATGAAGCAAGAACGGCATATCTGGCCGTTGTCGCCCCAAAAAGCACCAGAACCCCCCCCCCCCCCCCAATAAAAAATCTGAGAAAATCGTTAAGCGATAGTAATGATTACCCGAGAGTGGACGTCGCTTTGTTCACTAAGCACACATCCTTGCATGATAGGCCAAATTAATATGTCTGTGAAAAAGTCTCATTAATAACTATATTATAGTCCGTTCTACGTTGAGAAAAACTTTGAAATATTGTAATAAAAGGGGCCACGTTGTATTTCCCAAAGCTTATGGAATTCTCCGAATGCCGCAAGGTGCTCGTATAGAAAGAGAAGGAAAAATGTGGTTAAGTGCTGTTGTGTTGAATCACTGTTCGCGTCACCGCCGTGCGCATCATTCAGCCTAGACATTCCTGTAGCGAATGTTTCAACGATAACCGTTGCATGGGTGGTTTCTTCCCACATTAGGTACGACTCCAGCTCCAAGGAGAACATCCTAATGGACACACTCAAGCGTTAGGCCCACGTGTATCAACGGGCTACGTTCCAGTGACAAGGATGGCCAATGACCGGCGTGGTGCAGCCCGCCGTTTGTACGCGGCATTGAGAGCTCATTTCTGTCCAAGGCATCACAAGGCTGGAAGCAAGGCGCTTTGGCCGTTTCGTGTTTCTTGGCATTTTCATTCGCAATGAAAATTCGTTAATAAACTGCACAATCTAAACCGCAAGCTTTTTAGCGCGTGCGGCTATTCTCCACTCTCTTCGGGCGAGTGACTCCTTTGCAAGGTGGTGTGTGTTTTATTTATACTATTATTCGCTAGAAAAAAATTTGAAAAAAAAAAAACAGGCCACGTGTGATGTGAGAAAAAGTACAGCTCACACTTATATCCACAAAGTAGATCTGCTGTCTGAATAGTGGAGGATCGTTTCTTTATGAACATCGTGACTGCCCCCAATTGCCAATCCTCAATAACTCCGGATATACATTTTAAGCGAAGTCGACGAGCTCGAGCTGTGGAGTGAGGCAGCGATTCTGGGTTAAAAGATACTAGTCCTAGCGACAAATTCTGCCAAAATTTATTATTATTATTATTATTATTATTATTATTATTATTATTATTATTATTATTATTATTATTATTATTATTATTATTATTATTATTATTATTATTATTATTATTATTATTATTATTATTATTATTATTATTATTGTTGTAGTTGTCGTAGTAGTGGTAGTTGTAGTGATGGTATGTTTGGATACGCAGAAGACACAGAGGAAATCGGGAGGGTACAGTCTTACAACTGCCACCTAAAAGGGCACAGCTCCAGGCCGCTGCTCCTTCGGGAAGGCTATACATAGAGGAAAGGGAAATATTGGGCAAGAAAAAAAAAACAGATAACACAGACGTAAGCACAGTTAACGAACACCAGCGAATCATACACAAAATATTGCCACTACACAAAAAATTACAATATGTATTTTCTCCGATTAGAATTATTTCTCCACGGGGCGTGTCGGCGGACCTTTAGGATTTACGTTAAGGTTAGCGCTTATCGTTAACCCGCCCTGGGAGTCTCCTTCTACGTTCATTATCTCACGTGATTGAATAGTTTTGGCCGAACACGAAACTAACTATACTGACGGTGTGACTCAGCCCGAGCCCCTCACGTGATGTGATAGACGAACCCAGAAGCTGCTGCAGCGTGTGGGACGAAAGGCAAGTCGTGTGCTACGACGAGAAGTAGAACTGAAGAGGCAGATCAGCTGCGGAGGAAAACAGGGGCTCGCGAGCGACGTGGTGCGACTGTAAGAAAAGCAAACATGAAGTTCCGCGCCGGGATCACTATTCGATCCCCGCACGACCTCTACTGAAAAGCGATTCATAAAAAAAAAAAAACTCTTGGTAGAATATTGTCAGAAAACTCGGTTGTCACAGCCAGCCGGCGTTCGAAACCGCGCCCTCGTGCACAGCAGCGAACTATGCCATCGCTATATGTGATCATCAACCCATTGACTTGAACCGTGTATGCGACTGGGGTCCACTTGAGATGCCACAAGAAGATTGACGTGTCTGCGCGTAGGTGGTAGATGCCTTGAAAGCGTGCTTTACCACAAATAGGCTCTTTATGCGGGGAAGCCCGCTTGTGCAATTTACTTCGCCTTGCAGCACGTAAGTTTGCCATTCACTATCTATCTATCTATCTATCTATCTATCTATATATCTATCTATCTATCTATCTATCTATCTGGCCATCTGGCCGCCTACATCTGGGTACTTTCGTGGCCAGCTCAGTAAATTGGGGTAGACCAAAATTAAAAAGAGTGTGAGAGAGTTTTACAATTATGAGTGACTAGTCGTGGCATGAATAATGTTAAAACTCTATCGCGAACGACGTCAAACCCTTTCCTATATACAGGTGTGGCACATACCCGCATACCAGGGGCAGCCAGCCGTATGCGGATGTGCGCCGCAGGTGTTTGAACACTTGTATCTACCGAGTAACGGCGAGGAATATTGGTAATTTAAATACCAAAGCGTTGCGTAAAACCGACATCGGCAGCGTGGATTTGACGAGTGCAACGCATATGTGCTATGGTCCCAGCAGGAATCTAACCCAAGCATTCTGCGTGGCAATCAAGTAATCTAACACAGAGCCGCGCCAGATCACGGAGCTCCTTTGGAAAATACCCTATGCAGGTGTAACGTTGGTGAAAAGTCACTTGTGGTTGCCGTGCTGCCCATATAATTTTACATGTGTTCTTAATTGACACTGGCGTCACGTGGGGTTAGTGTCAATTGTAGTCAAAGGGACACTAAAAAAACTATTAAATCGACGTTGATTGTTGGAGTAGTGGTGCAGAAACCTTGTAGTGTTAATTTTGTGCCTAAGAAGGGCCTATTTTGAAATAAAATCATGTTTTAGTGGTTCGCATCGGGTTTGCGCACTTCAAATTACCCGCCTCAGGAAACGAACCGTTTCACGTCACTGTTGCTGTGCACAACGTCGCCCTGCTTTATTGCGCGGCCACCGACACTAGTAGCAGCAAAACGAAAGTATAGCGGAGCAACAGAAGCAACAACGGCCATTGACCAATTTACTGCCATTGGCTCCGAGATGGCAGACGTGTTTTGGTTGAACTGGACCCCGCTAGATGACATGGCCTGTCCAGTTGAGCTGAACAGCAGCAAGGGAACAGCAGTAAATTATCATCATCATCAACCATGCGAAAACTGAATTTTTGAACGACTCGCGCCATTCCGTGCATATATAGTAACGTCCGGCGGTTCTTTTTCTATGAATCAAACAGAAACGAACAAGCAGCATTTTATTGCGTTTCTTGATGCATGGATCATTCTTTATTTAGTGCAACTAGATCGATTACTATTGATTAATCATCGGGATCATTTTTAAAACGTCCTTCTGCGGCACATGTATTTTGTGCATTTGCTTTAATTTCTCGGTAAGTAGGGCACTGCTGGTGGTAATTGTTGTTTTAGATGTTATCATACATTGAGCTTTCACTCTGACGTATATTGTTATTTGGCTTTAGTGTCCCTTTCCACTGAAGATGGCCTGTACGTAGCACTACCAGGGCTACCGTTCTAGCAAGCACAAGCGCTACATATCGGCTCACCGTGTTTATTGGTGGTGATACCCACGTTGGTCGTGGCATCGTTATGCAACTGTAAACAACTGGTTATATAAAACATATGCTACTGTTCAACCCACTAGTCTGTGCGTATAACATTTGTGCACATATATTCACTCAACAAAAAAAAGTTACATCACAGTCACCTTCCCTGAGCATGCTTCTCATGACACGAGCTCCCAAGGTAAATGTCACCTGCCTATTTTTTTTTTCATTTTGATCTGTTCGTTGATTAGGTACATTAAAGTATTTTTAATATTCATGTCCGATATCTAAGATTCTGCCGGCGTCCCCTTGCACTGTCTCCTTGACATCCTCTAAACAGAATTTGGTGCGTGTGCTTTTAGTAGGCGAGTGATGACGGTGAAATAAAATGATCGTGTGACGTGCGAATAAACGTTTTTTTTCCCCTCAAATATATTAGCACGCACACCCGAATGCAGTGGTGATACAGCAAGTAGCAGTGAAAATCTGTGTGTTAACAGCTCTTACGTTAAGCTCGAGATCTAGAACACATCTTTTCGCAACAGATCATCGGCTTTTCCTTTTCGCTTGCCCGCGCACGTTTCTCGTGCTCAGTGGACGCTATTTTATGATTCAGCGCGCTTCTTGATATGCCCTGTTGTTTCACGTCACCAATCACGATGCTGTTTTTTTTTTATTTTCTTGCAATACATGGGTTTTTGCTACCAGTTCAAGGCAACATCATTTCTTAAATTAACGTTACATGCAACTCTTGTAAGCTCCAAGCATGAAATATGCGTGCTTCACAGGCAACAGGTTAAAAATGGCATTGATTAATTAGAAATCAGTACAAAACTTTATGCGCATTTGAACTCCTGTTTTTTTTTTTCATTATGCCGCCCGTGAAATATACTCCGCAACTTTCTAATCGTTTGCTCCGTAAGAAGGTCTCGCTTATCACTATTCCATCACATTTTATCATAATCCACACATATTGTCGCGAGAGGAAACGATAGGCAGGAACTCGACGTGGATGACTGTTTACTCAGCCACAGCTGCCATTCACTTCTTCGCTCTCGTCTTCTGCCACCAACACAGCGTGGCATACCCTCCCCCCACCAAAAAAAAAAAAAAAGAAGAAGCATCGCATGAATACCACGGCTCTGAAAAACAACGAAAGGTAGTCAGAAATGTCTGTGTCCTTCGAAAAGAAAAAGTACGAGATGAAAAATAAAGAAGCAAGAAAGTAATAATGCACAATTGTCTTGAAGGCTATTGCCACATCACAAAGTTCTTGACTTGCAGTCAACGCGAATAGTACGGCTTCATCCTGGAGACGTGAACCACATCTGAGAAGCGTGGTCTGCGAAAACGGTGTGACGTGTCTGCTGGGACAACTTCGTAGTTCACTTCGCCGAGGCGATGAAGAACTCGGTAGGGTCCGAAGTACCGACATAAAAATTTTTCTGAGCGTCCCCGTTGACGTATAGGAGTGCGAACCCAGACTAGGTCACCGGGTTTGTATATTACTGCTCTGTGGTGGGTGTTGTACCGGCGAGCATCTTGATTTTGCCGCGATAAAATGCGAAAGCGCGCCAGCTGCCGGGCGTCTTCGGCACGCTGAACAAATACATCTGCGTCCGGGGTAATCGTGTCCGGCATAGTTGGTTGCAGCATGGTGTCAAGCATTGTGGTGATGTCGCGGCCGTGAACCAGACGAAAAGAAGCAAAGCCGGTGGTTTCCTGCAAAGCCGTATTGTAGGCAAATGTTATATACGGGAGGATTTCATCCCAATTCTTCTGATCCTTGGCGACATACATCGAAAGCATATCTGCAATAGTTTTGTTAAGGCGTTCGGTTAACCCGTTAGTCTGCGGGTGGTACGCAGTTGCTGTTCGATGCGTCGTGCCGCTCAGCAACACAGGATCTGTCGGAGCAACTGTGCCGTAAAAGCAGTACCACGATCTGTGATGACGACAGCGGGAGCACCGTGGCGGAGAACGATGTTCTTGATGAAAAAGTCAGCCACCTCGGAAGCAGTTGCTCGCTGGGCGGCTTGTGTTTCGCAGTATCTGGTCAAGTAGTCGGTGGCAACCAGAATACAGCGGTTA